TTGATAATTAATTTAAAATAAATTCAAAATAAAAAATAATAATTATTTTAAAATAGAAAAAATATTAATAAATTAAAAATTAATTATTGTAAAAAAGTAATCTTTTTAAATATTATTTAAAAAATGAATAATCTTTAACATTTTTTTACATAGTAATAATAACGAGCGCAACAATTAAGGGCGGAGGAAAAGTTAAAGCGAAAATGGCGGAAGTGAAGAGTACTTAGATGTCATAAAGAGATATTTTAATTTTGGTTTCAGTAACAGAGTCTCCCTGTAAGATGGACATTCTTTTGTTTAGGAATCCGTTTAGGGATCAGTTAACAATCCCTTTTTCCCTCTTCCGTCTCAGAGGATATAAATAATACGCTTTACTTTTCCTTAATTTAATTTCTCTTTATTTTTTCCTTTTAAGCCGCTTGCCATATGGACAGGTGTCAGTTTCTCCGTGGAATCCGCATCGCATCACGTGATAAAAAAAATGTCTGCCTGCCACATCCCCAAAGGCCAAAGCCTCCCGAATCACGTGGCCAACTCACGTCCCACCCCCCACCATATTACGATTCCACGTTCCCGTTATCTTGTTCGTTACCCCTCTAGAAATTTGCTTTTGGAAAAACGGAAGAATTTTATTGAATTTTTTATTTTTATTAATCTCTTAGTATTCGGTAATCATATTAAATATCAATTAATTTATAATTAAGTTGCATTAGATCCTATTAAAAAAAAGCTCTTTTAGTATTTGTTCTCCATTCACAAAATTCGAATTTAAAATTTTACTTAAAGAGAATCAAACTCTTTTCAGTCAGATCAACATGTCATTGATAGAATTTTATTGAATTGTACAACAATGTTAGTCACTATTAGATAAGAACAAGTTTTTTTTAATTGATAAAGAAATTCTCTCAATATTTATTTTTTTATTTATAAAACTTAAACTTAAAAATTTATTTTAAAAATTAAGTTTTTTCCACTCATATCATAAATTATTGATATAAAAATAATTTTTTAATAGAATTTAT